GTGGAAGCAGGAAGATCAAAGTCAACCTGGGATGAATATATAGTTGTTTATATACATGTTTAATATGTATACATTATAGTATACATTATATGTATATTTATATAACTTTTTTTTTTTTTTTTTTTTTTTTGGTTTTTCGAGACAGGGTTTCTCTGTGTAGCTTTGCGCCTTTCCTGGAACTCACTTGGTAGCCCAGGCTGGCCTCGAACTCACAGAGATCCGCCTGGCTCTGCCTCCTGAGTGCTGGGATTAAAGGCGTGCGCCACTACCACCTAGCTATATAACATTTATTTAAACCTGTTAATAGTTGCCATGTTGGTAAGACTTTGTTTACTTTGTTTTTCAAGACAGAGTTTCTCTGTGCAGCCTTGGCTGTTCTGGAACTTTGCTCTGTGAACCAGGCTGGCCTTGAACTCAGAGATCCACTTGAGTTCTGAGATTAAAGGCATGTGCCACCATGACCCAACTATTAGCAAGACTTTTTTTAAAAACATAAGGTACACCGGGCAGTGGTGGTGCACGCCTTTAATCCCAGCACTCAGGAGGCAGGGGCAGGCGGATCTCTGTGAATTTGAGGCCAGCCTGGTCTACAGAGCAAGATCCAAGACAGGCACCAAAACTACACAGAGAAACCCTGTCTCGAAAATAAATAAATAAAAATAAAATAAAATAAATAAATAAAAACATAAGGTACTATAAGGAACTTTCTTGAAGGATCTTAGGAGATTTGAACTTTAACTGACAACTCAGACACAAACTTGGTATTTGGGTTTGAGCACAACATTTAATCTCTTGACATCATTGTTTTGTTTTTCCTTTTTGTCTTTGTATCAAGTTAAGGGCATCACTGCATCTTTAAGAAATGTGAAGGAGTAGCGGGGCTGTGGTGGTACATGCCTTTAATCCCAGCATTTGGGAGGCAGAAGCAGGTGGATCTCTGTGAGTTCAAGGCCGGCCTGGGTTACAGAGCGAGTTCCTGGACAGCCTAGGCTACACAGAGAAACCCTGTCTCACCAACAAAAAAAAAAAAAAAGGAAAGAAAGAAATGTGGAAGTGCTGGTGGGAGGAGTATCTAATTGAAGAATGAGGTAGTGTTAGCATGAAGTTAGTCTTTTAGAGGAGTTTCTAATTGAAGAATGAGGTAGTGTTAGCATGAAGTTAGTCTTTTAGAGGAGTTTCTAATTGAAGAATGAGGTAGTGTTAGCATGAAGTTAGTCTTTTAGTTTCTCTAACTTATTATAATGGTAAAATTTTGGATTTGGCTGTTTTGTTTGTTTTTCCTCCATGAAAACTATGTAATTTTTTAAGCCTTGGGGAAAGGAGGAAAATGATCATTCTTACCCTCCTCTATGGCATAGCCAGCTGACCCTGTGAGCTCACTTTTCCTAAATGATTCACCTTTTGGAAAAGTCCAGTCATGGAAAAGTTCTGTCCAAATAAAGACTTTTCAGGAAGTTGAGTGAGTGAAAATGAAGTTAAAATGGAATTTCTGCTAAAGACAAATAGATTAATTATTGCTAATAATAGGCATTTTCCTGTCAGGAGTCCTTCTCATGTATAAGATGATTGTAAGTTAACCAATCTCCTACTTAAAAGTAGTATGATAGCTAAATCCTTCACTGTTTCTTAGCAGTGAGGTTACTCTCTGGCACCTCAGGAGGCTGAGCACAGGTAGAGAGCCAGCTTGGACCACACAGAGACCCTGTCCTGCAAAACAGAATGGCAGAAAGAGTGGCGTTGTTTAGGGGTGTTTTCAGCAGAGAGTAATCTGCTATTACTTTGTGTCAGCCACCAAATTCCTTAGAAATATCCCAGTTTATGTAATGTGTTTTCTGGTGGGCATGGATAGACTCTGGCACAGGAAATTAAGAAGGGCATTCCTTCCCACGGGTTCTGTTCTCCCCATGCCTACTCTGTGACTCTGTGACAGGGGTTGTCATGTCGCTTTTGTAGTTGGTGTCGTGCTGGATTGTGAGGTTTTGATGGCAGAAGCCGTATTATGTTTCTTTATATGTCTAATATTTAACAATATCAGCATTTGAAATGCTTCCCAGAAAATGTTGACTTAAGTGTGTACCAGAGTCTTGTCGGCCCTGTAGTAAAACAGGAACAACACAACTAAACATAAGCTACATGATTGCCACTTTCCTCCCCTTGTTCCTTAGGCCACTTGTTCTTCATATCATAGCGTTCCAGAATTTCAGCTCTGTGCTTTGATGTGGATCCTCTGAAGTTGGCTGTGTCAATCAAGTGTTCTGTGGCTCTTTGTTGAAACTCCTCCTTCAATTCTAGACTTTCTCTTGTTGTATTTTCCCCTTTTCTGAAATGTGTATTGTTTGAACTCAGAAGAGGCTCTACTATGGTTGGGCAACAAGCTGTGCTTCAGTAGCATACATAGTAAAGTGTCTATTTCTTAGTAGTGCTAAGGACATTATGGGGTGGTTAGCACTTAGGTCTGTCACTCAGCCCTCTGGAATATACAGCCTTTCTGGGTGGCTTTTCGTTTAATTCTTCTAATTTCACGATGGGGCTTCATTCTTCATTCCTGTCCCTCTGTGGTTTTCATTTTCTCTAAGTGTTGTGGATCCCTCGGGATTAGCAGTAGTGGGGGCATAGCCTGTGTTTTGAGGTAAAAAAAGGTTAATTGTGCCGGGCGGTGGTGGCGCATGCCTTTAATCCCAGCACTCGGGGAGGTAGAGGCAGGCAGATCTCTGTGAGTTCAAGGCCAGCCTGGGCTACAGAGTGAGTTCCAGGATAGGCTCCAAAGCTACACAGAGAAACCTTGTCTTGAAAAATCAAAAAAAAAAAAAAAAAAAAGTTAGTTGTTCCTAATGCAAGCTTTCGGCTGGTTGTGGCAGCCTGCACCTCTCTTCCACCTCTGCAAGTCCCTGAAAGTTAAGTTGAACAAGCCTTTTTAATGTTCTGTGACACAGCGTGACTTACTTGTTGTTATCCGTTCCACGTGGCTGTAAACTTAGGAGATCAGAGAAAAACCAAAACCAGTTGCTGCTTAGATATTTGCTACTTTTTTTGAGTCAATCTCATGTAGCTGAGGATGACTTTGAACTCCTGATCTCCTGCTCAACTGTCCCATTGTGAAGCTGTTACAGGCATGTACACCATGGCCAGCTTCTTTACTTTCTGAAAATTTAATTACTATCTTTTTCTGTTTTACCTCTTCTGTTAATGTTGTATAGTTTTAGTTATATTTGTTTCACTATTAGAGACTTTGATAGTAATTGGACAATAAAGCATGCATTAATTCATTAATCGCATTAATTTTCTGTAGATTTACTCAAGACAAGGGACTGTTTTGAATCCAGTATTTTGGGATCTGCATTAAGCCCAATATTTTGATGCAGGTTTATTTGGGGTATTGATTTAGCAGTATGACAAATCACCCTAAAATGTATTGGCTTGCATAAAACAGCTAACTGTTCTGTTACAATTTTTCATAGTTCCAGAGGCCTCTAGGGCCAAGTAGGTGGTTGTTGCTCAGGCTCTCTTGTGTACTTGTAATCAGACAGTGGTTGGGACCATCATAAAGATCACTTACTTCCAGTTCTGATGCTTAAGGACTCAGCTATCTTGGGGCTAGGAATGATTCCTCAGATATCTGTGTCTGTGTGGTCTTTCCATGTGATCTCTGCTGCAGAGGGGCTTTAGGCTAGGAGTTCTAAAGATATATTCCCAAGGGAGAAAGCCCTTAGAAGGCCTATAGAGCCACTTGCACGGAACCCCTCAGGTGAGATAGCCATTAAGGGGCTTGCTTAAGGTTCTGGAAGAGCATGTGGGACAGAAATGTGTGACAACCAGTTTGGAATATGCCATCTGTTGCAGAATTTTCACTCCATTGCTGTGTAGTGTCTGGATAGTTGAGTAGGGAGCATAACCCCTTAGATTTCAGGTTTAGTACTTAGGAAGGTAAATGAGCTTCCCGTTGGTATATTAGTGCTGTAGAGCAAACCTCCCCAGCCTCAGCTATAACAGCAGATGGTAAGCAGTGGAGTGTTGCTGGTGTGTTCCTCTATTACCTGGAATTGCTTGTCGCATCTTAGCTCCAAGCTTAACTTGGTGCCACTTATATACATAACGTAACCGTGTTAAGTGCAGCAGCGAGGTAGCCCTTCGTTAGAAAATTTATCCTGGAAGGTGGTAGAGACTTGTATACTCTCATAGATGGAATTTATAGGGTTTATTCTATCATTTTTGGCCAGTCTTTGTTTGAATATTTATAATGCACTGACTATAATTTTGGACCTGCCTACTGGTAGATTGGAATTTAAACAAAATTCCCCAAATGTTTTTGTTGCTCTAGCATGTCAAAGCATGCACTACATATTTCTCCTTTTCTCTTTACCTGGAATATGAGACATCTTAAGTATCCTTATTTCATCCTTTAGAACTCAGTTTTATCCGATGCAGTTTTCCAAATTTGAAATTGGATAGTGTTGTGTTACATTCTGCTACTCCCTGAGTAGTTGTGATTTGCCCGGTTTTAGGAAGTTGTGTTTTGTCTTTGGGTTTTAGGTGTAGAGCAGGAAGGAGCCTTCTGCAGAGCATTTCCAGTAGTCTGCTTTTCTTCTTGACATGATGGATGGCAGTGCTCTTGTCCCTCTGTCCCATCTCTCCATCCCACCTTTCACTGGCCCTTCAAGTCTTCATATCGATATGTTAGGTGAGGAGTAGTGCAGGAGTCTCTGTGGCGTCACGTGAGTCACCAAGTGAGCTGAGATTCAGGAGTTTTTGCCGGAGTCTTCACACTGACCGATATAATGGAGCAGACTTGGATGACATTTCACTGCTGGTTGTGTCATTAGTTAATATCATTAGTCCGGGAAAGCATCTGTGGGTAGGACTGTTAGAGGGAACTTTGATCGAGTGGCTGGAATTGATTGGAGACTCAGCAGTGAGTGTGCTCCCAGTTTTCCTTTCTGTCCTTTGCTGCACTTTGACTTCTTGGCCCACTTGTAAATTGATCGTCTCTTTCCGTGAAACAGGGTGACTAAGGAAGTAGATGCTGCGTCCAAGGAAGCCAAGTCTTTCCTCAAGCAAACTGAGAAGGAAAACCCTCAGGCTGTCGTCACTTCAGCAGTGCCACCACTCCCTGCGGGGTCGGGGTGAGTATTTACATCTGTCCCAGGAGTCTTGGCACACTCGGGAAACTTCTGTGCAAGACCCTGTTTCTAATGTAGTGGTCACCACTCCTGTTCTGAGATCGGGAAGGAAACTTGTGCTCTGCCTTGTTGGAAGTTTTTACCCAGATAGAGTTTGCTAGAAAAAATTAGCTATATGTTGCTTATTTAATAATCCAGCTTGAAAGAAGGTAACCACAAAGCTAAACATGTGAATTGTATAGTAAAAAATAATAATTTTTGCATGACAATGTTAGCAGTTCATCAGAACTTTTTTTTTTTTTTTTTTTGGAGTTTTCGAGACAGGGTTTCTCTGTAGCGTTGGAGCCTATCCTGGAACTCACTCTGTACCCCAGGCTGGCCTCGAACTCACAGAGATCCGCCTGGCTCTTCATCAGAACTTTTAATGAATGTTTGAATTGAGTACTTAGTTCCACCTCCCACCCCCCTTTGCCTTTGAGGACAAAGGAACATAAATAAGAAAGTCGAGTGGGCATGGGGATTTACACCTGCAGTTCCAGCTGCTGGGAGACTAAGATAGGTGGAGGTGGACCACTTGAGCCCAGGAGTTCAAGGCGTGTCGGTATCAGAGTGAGCCCTTGTCTCAGAGAAAGCAGTCAGAAATGATCGAAAGAAAGAAACTCGAATAGTTTACTCCTTTTGTGCGGCCCGTGCTTTAGTTATTTTCAGTTGAAGCCTGGAGTTCTTTCTCTTTGAAAAAGCCAAGGTCCTGTCTTCTTAGCATATATAAGAAGTAAATAAGAGAAACCCAGGGCTGTAGGCCTCATCCTATGGGTATCCCTAACTAGCCAGCTAACACCTGCAACTGAGAGTTCTGGTATACCAGGCTCCTATGCTGGCTCCTCTGACCTTTCAGATGAGGACTGTCACCTCGTTAATGTACTCACCTTTGTTGTGAACAGGAAAGTTGTTGTTGTTTTCTTGTTTTTGAGACAGTCTTACTATATAGGCCTGGCTTTGCCTGGAGCTAACTCTGTAGAGCAGGCTGGTCTCAAACTCACCAAAATCTGCCTGCCTCTGCCTCCTGAATGCTGCGATTAAAGGTGTAGATCATCACCATGCCTGGCAAACAGGAACATTTTATTTTACATTTTTTTCTCCCACTAAAAATTCATCCAATTTTCCTATCAAACTGTGTAGGCAAGTCTTCATCTTTTTAGCCCCAACTCTGAGTAATATTGTTACAGTGTTATATCCCCTAGGGTGCACTTACCTAGAGTAGAATCTCAGAGAGGTTTACATGCAAGTCAGTTATGTGAGAAGTGATGTCAGGGAGACCCCTCTCAGATAATACTAACCACCTTTCCTGTTATACATTAATAGTACTGTTGCTATGGAAAATTCTGGCTAAACAGACTCTTGTTAAAGGCAGCTGAGGTGATTGGATATCAGCATAGGACAGTCTCTTTAAATTGACTGAGAGGGATTCCTCCTAAACCTGAGCTATATAATCCTGGCATAGACAAGAGTCAGTGTCAAGACTTGGTTGAGAAATGACTGAAAGGAGTCTGACTAGAGTTCATTAAGGAGGGAGTCTTCCTGAGACTGTGGACAGGAAAGCTACCAGGATACAGGGCAGCTGAGAAAAGGAGCTGTTGCTGGCAGCTGTTCTAGAGAAATACTTTTCAGTAGATTAATGACCCACTGACTCTCTTACAAAAGAGTGAAATGAAATCTGTCGAAATCCATTTCTTTGAAAGCTATAATGGAATATACCAGAGTATAAAAATATATTCTAAATATCTGAGTAAAAGTGCATGAATATGGGACTTTAAATTACCTATGGTACAGTATTATGTCTTGAATTTCTGATAAGTTGCATGGCCTTCAAGGGTGATCTGCTTGTTTTTCTGACCTGTGTCTCAGAAAACTTTTACAGTTATAACTGCTTGGAATGCCAAAGGAAGTCATCTGCTTTGGGATTTGGACTCATTTTATCAGTGAAAACATTAGAATCTGCAACAGATACCACTTAAGTATAGAAGGTCTTTTCAAGGGAGGAATTTGCAGGAGTCATCTAATATATAAAAGAAAAGTAAAACAGTAAAATGTTTTCCATGGCCTTTTTTTTTCTCCCCACTTTGGGAACTGCTTCAGTTTATAGAAATTGTGCATTTCCCTTTTCTCTAAACAGATTTAAGCAACACAGGAAAACCAGTGCAGAAGACTAAAACATCCTGCCCCACATCTCTCAGTAACAAATAAGGACAGATGCCGAGGAGCCAATGTTTGTAACTGAAAATGCATTTCCTCCACATGTTTAAAATAGCATGCAGCTTAGGCTATAAAAAGTCAGAGTTTGTGTGTTGGGGATGGAATAAGCCCTCTTCTAATTAGAGGCCAGAATCAGGCTGTTACATTTGGTAGAGGAAAGTACGATGCTTACTTAGTGTGTCTAAATTCCCATGGCTTCATCATCCAGGCCTCTTGATCTCTCTCTTCCTCTGCACACTGAATTCTTGCTTCATCTAGCTCTACTAGCTGGTGCCTGGCCAGGCTTCACATTTGTTTTTTTCTTCATTAGTCTTAACTTAACAATCCTTGCTATAAGCACAGAATTATTTTTATTGAGTTACTACTTTAAGCTGTAGCCTTATAGATTGGGAACAAACTAAGGTGATAAAAATATAAGGTTGAGGGGCTGGAGAGATGGCTCAGAGGTTAAGAGAACCGGCTGCTCTTCCAGAGGTACTGAGTTCAATTCCCAGCACCCACATGGTGGCTCACAACCATCTGCAATGAGATCTGGCGCCCTCTTCTGTATACATAATAAATAAATAAATCTTTAAAAAAATATATAAGGTTGAAAGATAAGATTTTTCCCTTGTGGTTTTGTCTTGTTCTTGATTTTTGGACATAGAAAAAGGCTTTATTGTTGAATCTCAAACAAGTTCCTGGTGGCGTCAGTTTAAGCAGTGTTTGTCCCAAAGACAGAAAAGATAGGATTTGTTATAGAGCCATATGAAGATTATGGCTCAAATTGATAAGCTGGGTATGATGACTGTAATCCTAGTACCTAACAGTGAAGGCAGTAGGATCCGGGGGTTAAAGGTCAGCCTTGAGTACATAGTGAGTCTGTGGTCCATCTGGACTGCTTGAGACTATCTCTGAAAACCAACAGTAAGCACTGTTTAGGTGGTTTGTCAGTGTTGGTGTCCTTGACTGTCCCAGGAACCTAATCTTTGGGAATAGTTTTTCTGTCTAAACAGTTGACAGTTGACCTTTCCTAAATTAACAGAAATCAGACATAGCCGCAATGTTGGGAGGAAATGTTTCAATTAGACTCTCTAGTTGCCTTATTTTTTTGTTTGGTTATGTTCATATTTTCTTTCTCCAGTGATATGTTTACAGTTGAATGTATATTAAAAGCCTGCATACACACCAAAGCCAAGTCCTTTGAGTGGTTCAGTCACAGAAGTAAGACCTCCAGCTAGGTCCCAACAGAAATAAATGTCTAGGATGTCATGAGTAAAAATTTATTGGTAATTGTTGTAATTAAAGATAGAGGCCGGACGGTGATGACACACACCTTTAATCCCAGTACTTGGGAGGCAGAGGCAGGTGGATCTCTGTAAGTTTGAGGCTAGCCTGGTCTACAGAGTGAGTTCCAGGACAACTAGGACTGTTACACAGAGAAACCTTGGGGGGGGGTGGGGGCGGTGGGGAGGTGGGGGTGTGGAATAGAGGAAAGTAGATATTCCAGCAAACATGACCTGACAGTATGGGAGATCTAAGTGATTTTCTATAATGAACAGTGCTTTGTTCATTTAGTAATGTATAATTGGATGATTTTTCGGTTGTTTGTTTTGTGGGTGCCATTTGTTGTTGTTGGTTTTTGTTTCGTTTTGTTTTTTGAGATGGGGTTTCTCTATATAACCATCCTGGCTGTCCTGGAACTCACTCTATAGACCAGGCTGGCCTCCTCACAGAGATCCACCTGCTTCTATTTCCCTGTGCTGGGGATTAAAGGCATGCGCCACTACTGTTTGTTTGTTTGTTTTTAATACAGGGTCTTACTATATAGCTCAGCTGGCCTCAAGCTTGTGATCCTCTTGCCTCAACTTTTTGAGTGCAGGGATTATACTACCAAATATATTTGGTAGTATAGGTGTATACTACCAAATCTGGCCCAAAACAAAAAAAAAAGCAACCAAAAAAATACTTTAATGAGATTAAATGTGATGCTATATAATTTATCAATTTGAATTATACCTTTCTTCGGTTTCTAGCAAACTCACAGGGTATATTCGTAGTAATGGACAACTACAATTGGTTTTTTGTCACCTACCAAAGAAACACTGGACCTATTACTAGTCCCTCTCCCATGTTCATGCTCAACTTCACTCATGGACTTTCTGGGTCTAGGTTTGATTATTTTGGGCATTTCATGAGTGGAATTCCAGTATTTGCTTTTTTTTTTTTCTTTTAAAGACTTTTTAAATGTATTTTATGTGTATGAGTATTTGCCTGTGTGTATGTTTGCACCATGTGTGTGCCTGTGGGAGCCAGGGTGTTAGATCCCTTGGAAATAGAGTTACAAGTGATGGTGAGCTGCCATGTGGGTGCTAGGAACAGAACCTGGGTCCTCTGCAAGAGCGGTAAGTCCTCGTAAACCCTGAGGTACCTCCCCAGACCCTGTGTCTGGCTTCTTTGACTTAACAGAATTATCTTCAGGGTTCATCCATGTTGCAGCATTTATGTATACTTGATTCTTTTTTATACCCTTTGCGGAATAATACAATTGTAAGACTATACTACCTTTGGTTTACGTATGTGCTAATTAGTGGATTTAGGCTGACTTTCACATTTGGCTACTGTAAACGCTTCTGTGGACATTCATGTACAGACTTGAGTGTTATTGGGTGTTCTCATTGCCCTAGGGTATATCCATCCCTCCAGGGATTTGTGGTTAGACAGTAGCTAGAATAAGCTCTTTAGTGTTTTAGAATTTACTGTCTGTGGAT